ACTTCCCACAAAGCTGAAATATAATCATTTGCAGACATTTATTAAAGCCCTTTAATCTGTTACAGTAACAGTTTACTAAACTTTATGTATAATGCTGCATGCAGTTCTCTAATCACACATAATGATGCAGAGGATCTGAGAAACCAGTCCAGAAAAATGTTTTTTTTTATGTTTATATGATAGACTACACTAATATTGTACAGGATAAAACAATTGAAGAGGTGAGCATGTACCTATCATAGCCACAAAATTGAAAACCAAAGGAAAAAAGTATAAACTAAAAATGTTGATGATTTTCTTTGGAGATTATCTGTTTTCTGCTCCTCTCCTGGATACATTGGCATTTTATCCTGTAACAGGAGGGAAAATGTTAACAGGGTTTGGTTTATTCTTCCATTCATTCGTTATTTGTCATTTAGTATTACCTGGGGATCTGTGTTGATATAAGGACACAAAGAGGAGAGTAGAGATGATGTACGGACAGAAGACCAGCAGGCGACGCATCACTGTGAGCAATAACTGAAAAGGGTTTGATGCAGGAGGTGAAGCTTTGGAGGTGGAAGGGGCTACTGTAGGTTTATCTGGAGGAAAAATACATTTAAATTTGACTTTCTTTACTTTTGCAGATTAATTTTACATTGAAGATCTCATAAGAAGAGATGAGCAGCTGTAAAGTTCATCTGTTTCAGCTTTGGTCACTGCCATGTTCAAGGAAACAACTGTAAATACATTACACACAGTTTTCTTGAACGTGTGTGTAACGTGTGTGTGTGTGTGTGCGTGTATAAACATTGATGCAAGCACTACAATATTTGACTTTGTGCGTGCGTGTGTGTGTGTGACCGACTGTTGGCTAGTGAGCATGTTATTTAACCTTCGCTGACCTTCCACAGAGATCCAGCTGGATGGAGACTCTCCCTGACCGCTGATGCTGCACTTATAGAGGCCTTCATCAGAGCTGGAGACATGGAGGAGGGTCATGTGACCTGATGGTCCATCACCAATGAAGGAGCCATCTTTATAGAAAGCAGCTGGGAGTTTGGAGAAAGTCTTATCATGGCATCGTAACGTGACGTCATCTCCCTCCATCACAGGGAGGACAGGACTCTGCAGGATCACTGATCCACCTCAACACAGAGACAAACTACAGCATTTCATCCATTTCCACACAGCAACACTAACTCCACAGTCTGATCTTACCAGAGACAGAGAGCTGGATGCTGCTGCTGGAGGATCCAGACATGGACTCACACCAGTACAGGCCAGAGTCATCAGGGTACAAATAGCCGATTTCACAGGTAGAACCAGCTGATCTCCCCCATCCATCTCCACATTCAGTCCTGGTTCCTCCAGTTGTGTTTCTCCTCACAGTTCCTCCATCAGAGCTGTTTTCATCCTCACAGATCAGAGTCACTGATTCATCCTTAAAGAACTGAGATCTGCTGGGACTCACAGTCAGACGAACGGCTGGAAGGAAAAACTGCTGCTTAGTTTTTATTAAGGAAACAAATCTGAGCATGAGAGAAAATG